CTGCCCAACTTAACTTGTATTTATTCCTTTCTGGCTTTACTTGCTGAGTGTTTCCTTGTCCCGCTGGACGAGGGCTCAGCTTTGCATATATTGTAACTAACATGCTGAATGTTTACTCTGCCTTGGTGGGCAGGGGTTCAGCTTTGTATTGTATGTATTTCTGCTACTTTGTCTGTTGATATCTCATAGTCTGCGTGTTTATCTAGGCCTGCTGCTGGGCCGAGGTATAATAGTACCTATATCTTAGCACAATAGCTTCTTTGTTGCGCTCAGCGAGGCCTCGTAGGCTGGGCCTCCCTGTTTTCCTGATTTGGCTGCTGAGGGCTTTCTTGTTTTCTTGTTCTCTATTGTGTTTAGCAGGAACTTCAGTGAGTTCTAGTCTTCTTGCCCTGTTTGCTTTGGGTGCTTGTGCCTTATGTACTCGATTTAGATTTGATAGAGATTCGTTTGTATGTTGACTAGTTTATTCAGTTGTTGCCTTTCTGGGCATTATTCGGTCTGCTCTGCTGAGAGTTACTTGTGTCAATCAACTTTTTGACCGCTCGTTTAGTGTCATTCAGCTTGTTTTACTGTGTCTTATTTATGTTGTTCAGCTTGTTTATGCTGCGACTTGTTGTTTTGTGCCACTTACTTCTTTTTGTAAGGGATTATATGTATCTATCTCCTCCTCCTCTCCCTTTCAAAGAGGTGAGCTGGTGGGACTAAGAGAACCTTAGTGTTGCTCACACAGCTCATCGTCTTCGTTTTCCCTGCCCTCTCCTGCTCAAGTTGAACGTGCCAGGCCTCCCCCTCAGGCGTCCCCGAGGTGGTGCCCTGTTTTACTTTGAGAAGGTGAGGTTGGGTTTTTGGGAGGGATGCTTTCCTTCGTAGTTTAACGCTGTTTTGTTGCTTTGTGCTAGGGTGCTTTTTACCTTCAGCACTTGCATTTTTTATTTATTTATTTTTTTTATTTTTACTTCTGTATGTTAGTATATGATGCTAAAGCATGATATGTCAAAACAAGTTTATGCAATATACTCCTCACGTAGAGGCTTGTATTTCATTAAATTAAAAATGGCTCAGATGCCTTAGTTAACATAACATGAACTAAACAGAGTTCTTGCAAAATTGAAATAGCTGTCTCTGTTTTTACTTAACTTGCCTTTTAAACAAAATATTTCTTTAACACATCAGCATTGAAACTATTTCTTAAGACCTGACCTTCTTGATCTGCGAGGAGGAATGCACCTTGTCCTACTTGTCATGAATGATGAAAGGACCTTCCCAATCGGCTGACAACTTTCCATGCTGATTTCCTCTTCCCACTGCTGCTGTCCTTCTGAGGACCAAGTCTCCAAGCAGGAGCTCCCTGTGCTTGACCCTTTTATTGAAAGCTTTGGAAATCTTGCTCTTCTAGGCTGCCAACTTGAGGGCTGCTTTTATCCTTACTTCCGGTAGGAAGTCTAGCTCTTCCAGCATGCGCTTTTCGTTTCCTTGTTGTTCATAATGCTGTATCCTCAGGCTGGGAATCTGCACTTCCACTGGGACAACTGCATCAGCCCCATAGGCCAGGGTGAAAGGGCTTTTCCCAGTAGACTCTTTCTTAGTGGTTCTGTTTGCCCATAGGACCTCTGGGACTAGGATAGCCTATAGGCCCTTGTGCTCCTCCAGCTTTCTCTGCAGGGCTGTTAGGATTAGCTTGTTTGCTGCCTCGGCCTGACCATTGCTTTGGGGGTGGCAGACTAAGGCACTTGCATACTTGGTGCCCATGTCCTTCAGATAATACTTGATTGTGTCGCAGTCGAATTGGCATCTGTGGTCAAAGACTATGCACTGTGGAACCCCGAATCTTGTGATGATTTTTTCCATATGAACGTCCTCACTTGGGTGGCCTTTATGTACTTGGTCGGTTCAGCTTCTATCCACTTAGTAAAATAGTCTACCGCCACTATGAGGTATTTTCTGCCCGCTGATCCAGTGGTGAACGGTCCCAATATGTCCATTCCCCACTGGGCGAACGGAATCGAGCTGAGGATTGGAGTAAGATCATTTGCTGGCTGGTTTATGACTGGGGAGTACTTTTGACACTTGTCGCACTTTTTCACATATGTCAGCGCGTCTTGAGCTAGAGTTGGCCAGCGTACGCCTCTTCTTAGAACTTCTACTCCCAATGCTTTTCCACTAATGTAGTTGGCACATATTCCTAAGTGGGCTTCTTCCATAATGTTTTCTTGCTCCCACTCTGGGATACAACTCAGCAGTGGTTACGAGAAGCCCTTCTTGTTAAGCTCCCCATTCATTACCACGTACTAATTGGCGTCTTTCTTTACCTTCTTAGCTTGCACTTCGTCGTTTGGTAGCGAGCCATGAACCTTGTATGCCAGAATGTCTGTGAACCAAGCTCACTGCTGCCCAATGCAGTTCACCTGGTCCTTTTCGGCGATACTGCTTTTCTCCAGGACTTCAACCATCACCGTCCTCGTGAGGCTTTGCAGGGTAGAACTGGCTAACTTTGATAAGGCGTCAGCCTGGGAGTTTCCCATACATATTTTAACATGGTGGGCTCCCTAATCTCGTACGCCCCCTTCAGCTGACTGGCGACAAGCTGGGATTCAGTTTGTAGATGAACTTTCCTGGCTCCGGCTGCGATACTCATACGCAGGCCTGCCAGCGTTGCCTCGTACTCTGCCTCGTTATTTGATGCTCTGAATTTTAACTTTATGGCGTACTCAAATACATTTCCTCCTGGGGATGTCATTATGATTCCTGCCCCATTCCCTTTTAGGGCTGAGGATCTATCTACTTCTACCCTTTAGATCCCAACGTCGTCTTCCTTTTCTTCATAAGAGGCTTCCACGATGAAATCTGCTAAGGCTTGTGCCTTGATGGCTGCCCTAGGTTTGACCTCCAACTCATACTTAGAAATCTCGATTGCCCATTTCAAGAGTCTTCCTGATGTGTCCATTTTTTGCAATGCTTTTTCCAGTGGGTGATTTGTGAGGATTTGTATTATGTGCGCGTCAAAATATGGTTTCAACTTCCTTGCTGTTGTTACCACTGCGAAGGCCAGTTTCTCTTCCAATGGGTACCTTTGTTTTGCCTCAGTCATTACGTGGCTCACAAAGTATATTGGCCTTTGTTGTTTTTGTCTTTCTACCAAGAGGACGGCTGCGATTATCTGAATTGACGCGGAAATGTACAGCTGCAACTTTTCCCTCAGCTCCGGGCTGATCATTGTTGGGAGCTTAGTCAGATGCTCCTTAATACCCTCATAAGCTTCTCTTTTTGCGGCTCCCCACTTAAATTCTCTGTTCCCTTTCAACAGCTGGTAGAACGACAAGGCTTTGTCTGCTGACTTGCTGATGAACCTGGTCAGTGCGGTTATTCTGCCTATCAATCGCATGATGTCTTTGATACACTTAGGCCCAGGTAGGCTTAGGACTGCCTCAACCTTCTCCAGATTTGCGTCTATTCCTCTTTCACTGATCAGGAAGCCTAAGAACTTTCCTAAACTCACCCCGAAGACACATTTCTTCGGATTGAGTTTGATGTTGTATTTGCTCAGAGTGGCAAATGTTTCTTATAAATCCATGATATGCCCTGCCTGTGTGACGCTCTTTACAATTGAGTCGTCCACATATACATCCACATTTCTACCCTTCTGGTGCATGAACACTCTATCCATTGTCTTCTGAAAAGTTGCTCTTGCATTCTTCAACCCAAAGGGCATAGCTATGTAATTGTATACTCCCACTTCAGTGATGAATGCGGTTTTCTGTCTATCTGGGCTGTGCAGGCTGATCTGATGGTATCCGGAAAAGGCGTCCATGAAGCTCAGCAAGGCGTACCCACTCGTTGAATCTACAAGCTGATCTATTTGTGGCAGCGGGTAACAGTCCTTCGGGAAGGCTTTGTTGAGGTCGGTGAAATCAACACACATTCTCCACTGACCATTCGCCTTCTTGACCATGACTACGTTGGCCAACCACTCTGGATAATCACAAGGCTCAATGAATCCTGCTTCCAAAAGCTTTTCTACTTCCTCCTAGATGGCCTGGTTTTTCTCCATGGAGAAGCTTTGTTTCTTCTGCCTTACAGGCTTGATATCCTCTCTCACGTTTAGTCTGTGGACCATGACTGCGGGGTCAATTCCAAGCATCTCATCTGCTGAAAACCTGAAGATATCTTTGTTCTTCCTCAACAGTTCTATGAGGTGTACCCCTACAAATGGATCAATATCCTTCCTGATTTTCACCGTTCTTGATGGGTCGCCCTCGGTGAGCTCAATTGTAACGTGCTCCCCGCTTGGAAGTGGCCTGGCCATCTCCTCTTTTGCAGGCTCGAAATTTTCCATGGCCAACTTTTGTTTATCCTTTTCCCTATGGTATTCTTCGTGCTTCCTTTTACTTGACTTTCTCTCAGGCTGCTCAAGGGATCTTTGCTCTGAGATCGGGTGCTGCCTGATCCTGGTGGGTTGTATTAAAGCAGTTATGTAGCATTGTTGAGCCGTCTTTTGGCTTCCCCTGAGCTTTACCGATCGCCTTTCATTAGTTGTGTAAGCCATGGCGAGGTGGTAGCTGGAAACCACTCCGCCGATCTTGTGAATGAGCGGCCTTCCTATGATCACATTATAAGGTGAAGGAGAGTCTATCACCAGGAACTCTGCCCGAACATCACGTCTTTTTGACCTTTCCCCTACTCAAACTGAGAGCTCAATTATGCCTTCCGGGGGTCAATTCGGATCCGTTGAACCCGGTGACTTCATAACTCACCCTTTTTAGATCTTTCCTTTCTAACTTCAACTCTTTTAACGCGTTGATGTATATGATGTTGGCTGAGCTGCCCCCATCTATTAGTATTCGATCCACCTCCCAATTTGCTATTCTCAGTGTCACCACCAGCGGGTCATCATGAGGATAGACTATGCCTTCTTGATCGTATTCATCAAATGTAGCTCGCGGCTGCGGAGGAAGTGGTGGTCATCTACGCTTCTCATTGTAATTTATCTGATGTATCATTGCTCACAGGTCTACTCGTGCCTTGTTCATTGTTCCCCCGTGCACTGGTCCTCCACTAATCACATACACTCTGCTTTCTAGCTTACTATCTCTGTCCCTGTCTTCAGCGGGACCCCTGTGACCTCCTCTGCGGTCACGACCTATTCTATCTTCATCCCTTCTTCTGGGAGGATCAACGTGCTGCTTGAACTGATTCAGGTATCCCCTCCTGACCAGATCTTCTATGTTATCCTTCAAATGCGTGCACTCATCAGTGGTATGACCATGGTCTCTATCAAAGTCACACCACTTGCTGGGATCATGGTTCCTGTTAACCATCCTCTGGGGTCTCTGCCATTTATCATCATCTTTGTTCAAACTGAAGATGTGAGACCTCGACTGAGTTAGTGGGGTACATTGATCAAACCTTCCTGGCCTTCCTCCTCTCTTTGGATCTGACCTTTTTACCCCCACATCTCTGTCCGCTTCTCTGCGAACTTGTTCAGCTCTGCTTGGCTGGTAAGCCCCGGCTACATTTTCTGTCCGGGTGACTTCTGCCCGCTTAACTGGGTTGCTTGGCGCCTTCCTGCTCAACATTGCTCTGTTAGTTTCGTCTGCCTTGATGAACTCGTGCGCTTTGCCCAGCGCCTCAGCCAGCGTTTTGAGGCTCTTACGCTCCATATACGCTCTGAACGGCGAACCTGGCAGCAAGCCGCTCTGCATGGCCAAGAGTGCTACCTCCTGGCTCATATTTGGGATGGTTGTTGCCTCCTTGTTGAATCTAGTGATGAACTCCCTCAGGGGCTCATCCTTCCCCTGAACTAGTGACATCAGCTCAGTTGTCATCTTAGTTCGATCTACCAAGGTTATGAAATGATCCATGAACATCCTCTTCAGTTGATTATACGAGTATACAAAACCTTTAAGGATGGCCCCATACCATTTCGAACCTAATCCTTCCAGGGTTGGTGGGAACGCTTTGCACCAAACCAAATCCGTCATGGTATAGAGCACCATGTGGTTCTCAAAGGCTTATATGTGGCTCTTAGGTGTTGTGGTTTCATTTTACCTACAACTCGACATCTTTATCTTCACCATCGGTTCCTCCAGAATCTCCCGGCAAAATGGGGAATCATCTGGAATAACCTGGATCCGCGCTCGCTTATCTTTGTCCGGGCTGGGTCCACGCTTTGAGGCTGGTGACCTGGTGCGGGGAACTCGCCTATCTGGGCTTCTCCCAACCTAGGCTATTTCCTCCACACTCCATTCTCGGTTCAGGTTGCGAGCTTCCAACTCTAGTACCTTCTTCCTCATCTAAACGAGCTCCTTCTGCTCGGGGGTGAGGATTGAGGGTGTTGGCTTCTTTATTGTTGGCTCCGCAGCTGCTGCTGTTGGTGATGAGCTCGCTCCCTTACCCATATTGGCAAGGACTGCCGTCATTGCTGCCAGCTATTCCTTACTGCACTTAGAGAGGTTCTGCAGGATGACTGACATGTTTACAGGCTGCGGTTTTTGGGCTATGGGTGCTGAAACAATGGGTTCATTGTTCGCGTCTGTCAACGACATTCCGTATTTGAAAATGGAACTGGATCTTGTCGGATCGACTTGTTTCAACGCTGCTTTAGCTGCAGCTAACGTCGATCCGATGGGGTTGGATTTTTGTGTGATGGTTAATTTGGGTTTTTCGACGGATCCTTTGGGATCGACAGTTGTTGCTGGTGTTTGGTTGGTGTCGTTGGATTTGGGTATGGGTGTTTGTACAACTTCCTCCTTGGCCATGGTGGTTTGTCAACTAGTCCCTACCTCAGTTGGTGAACCTCAGATTAGATGATCCTTCCCCTCCTTCTAGCGCCAATTGTTCCAGGTGTGGATCCAAGGGTTTTGCTGGGTGAGCTGGGTCCCGTCGGCAACCTACACACGGCAGCACACGTAAACTGCCCTCGGGGGTGGCTCGAGGAACCCCCCTCCGAAGCTTAAGTTAGAGAGTGTTTAGAGAGAGAAAGTGTACTTAGAGAGATATAGAAAGTATAATAACTTCAGTGTCTAATCTCTTTTCCGCTGTATCTTACCCTCTATTTATAGGCGTACTATCTCCTTTATGGAGAGTCTAGCCCGGTCAGCCCTGCAGGCCGACTCTATCACTTGAGAGCTAGGCGATAGTTCTGTGGAGCTATCCTATACAGATACGAATACTCTATCATTGAAAATACTTTCGATACACTGAACATCCCACTCACAAGAGTTGTGATCGATTAAATCACTCAATACTCGAACTTCGTCTGTAATTGGAGTGCTAATAAAATGGTTGTCCCCGTTGTCAACCCAAGGCTTGCTCCAAATGTCCACTGACGATCCATTCCCTATTCTCCAAATCAGTCCCTCTTTAAATAAGGCCTTCAAAGACCAGATACTACGCCACGAATAACTACCTCCGACACCTAAATGAGCATCAACAAATCTCTTTCCCTCATAGTACTTAGCACTGAGAACCTTATTCAATAAAGAATCTTGGTTACACGTAAGCCACCAAGCTTGCCGACCAAGGAGGGCATCGTTGAACACCTTCAAATCTCTAAAACCCATACCCCCAAGGCACTTAAGAGTACAAAGGTCTTTCCAGCTCTTCCAATGCACTCGCTTCTTGTCTTGTTCCTGACCCCACCAGAAACGTGACATCTTGGCATGAATATCATCAATTACCCCTGCTGGAATTTTATACACTCCCATGATGTAAGTGGGGATGGCCTAGATTACAGATTTGAGAAGAATTTCCTTCCCTGCTCTTGATAAAAAATTTTCTTTCCACCCTAACAGTTTTTTCCATATCCCATGCTTGAGTGCCGAAAAGCTCACTTTTTTTAACCTATCAATGATGGTTGGAACTCCAAGGTACTTTTCGTGCTTGTCAACTTGCCGCATAGCTAAAACACTCAATAACTCCTCTTGCATTAGGACACTAACGCCTTTGCTAAAAGAAACCTTCGATTTTTCATAGTTAATTTTCTGTCCGGAAGCTTGCTCGTATATGTTGACAATTTCAACAATCTTTGAACACTCCCTTCGGGTGGCTCTTGCAAAGAGAAGACTATTATAGGGAATAATTTCAAGCCTTAAAAATCCCACTAGCTTGAACCCCACTGTGATCATACACTAAAGTACGGTGGCGTCTAAAAGGGAAGAAGATATAGCAAAAGAGTCGCCAACAAGTTTTTAAGCAACATGTAAACCATCACGAGGTGAAGGTTACACCCCTTAATGATCCAAGAGATCGTAAACTCCATAAGGTCATGAACCAAATAAGGGTTCGGGGATGATGGTACAAATCCAACCTAAAAGAGATTGAACCTGCCCGAATAATAGGCCTCTACTTTATTCTGCTCATATTCATGTGCGCTTTCTGACTAACATGCAATCAATAGAATCAACCCTAAACCTGTTTAATCTATGTTGGTTGAACATTAATGCACAAATAAATCTATTATTGGCGATCACTTGAATTATAATAAAAGTTAACCTAACAAGATTATTAATTATCTTATTAAGCGTGATTGCAAATACCAATTCCCTTTAAACATGCAATAAAAGGTGATCAAGCAATAACAATAAAATAATCAAGCAACATAATAAATAATCAATATCATTAATAATAATAATCAATCATAATCATAATCATGTTAAAGCATAGCAAGATCCTAGGCATGATACTAACAAGATTAATAACAAATCCTAGCATGTCACTAAACAATAAAAATCAAATCTTTAGCCCTAACATGATACTAACAATCATAAATATTAGGAAGAATATAGGAAGCATCATACTTTTAATCATACTTGATATTAAAGATACCCTAGACATGATACTAGGAATTAAAATAACAATCTAAGCATGATTTCTACATCATAATATCAATTAAACCATTAAAGTACTTACTTGGATGCCTCGTACCTCTTTCTAATAACAAAATACACACGTTAGTAACTTCAAGGAAAAATAATAATCAAAGCAATTAAATTAAATAATTGAAAGAAAGATTTGGGACCAAACCCTCAGAAATTAAACCTTTCACGTCTAGGGCGAAGGCAACTTTGAATATGGCTAAGTGTTTCTAGATCTTGCGAATGCGGAATTTTGTATTAAAAAGAAAAGTTTAGAAAATAAAGAATGAATGTTAATGAAAATTGATGAAAAGAGATGAATGAAAAGGATTATTGAACTGTAGATGAATGCTAATTGATGAATAATTTGTGAATGAAGAGAGTTGATGATCGATGATGCTTGTTGATGAATGATGAAGATAGTTGGTCCCTCAAAACGGAGTTTTTGATACGATATTTATAGAGAAAATCATCCAAAAAAGATAATTTAACAAAACGGAGTCTGAAGACCACAAAACCACCTTGGCGCCAGCCCTGGCTCATTGGCGTCAGGACCAGTGGCTAGCGCCAGGTGCCAATGGCTGGCGTCTGGCGCCAATCCTGATTCTAGGCGCCAAGGCCTGGGGTTGGACGCCAAACCGACTTTTAACACGATTTCGAAATTCTGATAAATTTCCCGTACTGGAAGATAAAATAATATAATTTCAATCAAAAATGCTATTTGATCTAATTCAAACTCTGAAGAGTCCTAATTGAATTAAGAATGATAAGACCTTCTAGAATGTTCTAGAAGACCAAAACCATTCCTAATTACATTAGGAATGATAAATTATATTAGGCCCTCTCCTAGGTCATAGGGCCGTACTTAAAACTCAAACCAGGCCCAGTTTAGTAAATTGGCCATAAATTCCTCAATATTCATCGGAATTGGGCTTATAATATATCGTTGGAAAGGTCTTTGCAAGCCCCATCCACCTACACCACTATTGGACCCATATCATGGACCAACCAAACTGGATTGGCTGTTTTCTTAAAATAAAGTTTTCAAAAACAGAGAGAAAAGAAAAGAAATAAAACTTTCTGCAACACTAGACCTTTCCACACTTTCGTTTCATTTGATTATGATTCGACGTGAAAGGTACTCATCACTGGGTTTGGTTTTGGGGAGACACAAATGGGTGTCTACAGAAGCCCCCACTTTGACTGAGTTTGGAAAAACGCAAGTTTCGAAAACAAATGTCAAAGTATCGATAGGGACGGAGAATGATTCAGAACGTTCTGCGATCCTAAATCAATCTTATAACGCCGATAACTGCAAAACTAGCATCATTTAAACAGATAGAAGAGTTAAGAAACGCGTATCTTGCACCGTCGAGCACACGTCTCTGAAAGTAACCGATTTGCCGTATTTTGTTGTTTCGACGACCTCCTACAAACTAGAGAATGTCATCCCGCCTGAAAACCGCTACGCCTTGTAACTGCTTCTAAATTAGAAGATTGCTTCGCCTGAAACTATCCTCTCCACTGTGATAATATTCCACGTCCAAGGGAATATCATCGAAAATTATTTCTCTTGAAATAATTCTCATCCGCATTATGATCATCTTCCATGCCTCAGGAACTATGATCGAAGACAATTTCGCCCTGAAATTACCTTCAGTTGTTCATGACAACTTTCCGCCAAAGATATCTTCTCTTGAAGTCATCCTCATTTGATGCGATAATTTCCCAAAGGAAAATACCGAAGACCCACACCTGTCGATCTTTAAAAGTTCGCCTGAACTTTGCTTTTGCTATGCCTATACGTCGGCGCTCTTTGCTCTTGAACATGTATGTCGGTGCCCTTTGCTCTTGAACCTGTATGTCAGTGCCTTTTGCTAATGAACCAATACTTAGGCGCTTTAAGTTTAGTGAGACGATCTTTTTATCATGTCGATCACTTTACGTAATCAAGCCGATTACTTAATCATGTCAAATTTCTTAGAGGGGCTAACTGGCGTACCAAGGAACCCAAAATATGTTGCAGAAAGCTAGCACAACCACAACAGGTGGCTGGTTGTTTTGGTGTCGCTGAAAAACAATCAGCGCCAGCCATATGGCATTAGCGCCAGGCGCTAGCATTGGCGTCTGGCGCCAAGCACAGAAAGTGACGCCAATGCTTAGGGACTGGTGCCAGCACGGATTCTTCTTTAAATCCAATTTTCCGTTTTATTTCTTGCTCTGTTCGTCGCGAAATAGCCCGAGAGAAGTCCGAAAACTTCAATTGATCGTTGCTCACTCATTTCTCAACCAAATTCGCTCAAATTTGTTGCAAATCAAAGCTCTTCTCATCCATATTCCCGATCTATGTAAGTGTTCCTCCAACTCACATCGGTTTTTATGAATTATTGGCATGTTCATACACGAATTTCATGAAAATTCAAAACTTATAATGCTCAATTTGCTTTGTTTATCAGGTTTTATGCCATAAAATTGCTTGTTTATGTTTGTATATTGCCTTGGGAGTAATTTGAGACTTGTTTGACTCAATTTGGTGAAGAAATGAGCAATCCGCCATTGTTGGACCTCTTAAGGTCGTGAAGAACAATGTGGCTTGTTCTTGATGTTTTTGGCTAGAAATTCTTGTTCAATTTGTCACAATAATCACTATAGTGTTGCAAGAAATTGTTTGATTGCTTGAAAAAATGCTGTCATGCTCAATTTGAATTTGTGCTCTGTTTTAGTACTACGTACTCTGTTTTTGCGAACATAGTATCATGCGGCTAGGAAAACCTTTAGATACTATAGAACCTTAATTTATGATGATTTTGCACAGTGTAGCATGGCCAGACAAAGAGGCTCAGGTTCACGGTCTCGAAACACTAGACGGGAGCATGAGCCCGTGGAGGACGACACTACACCGTCCACTTCGCTTGGTCGGTTCCCAGAGTGGGATGAACAAACCTTGTTCTTTGCCCCTGTCCACCACATTTCCGAGAGGGTGAGACGGGGAACCGAGCCTGGGAGGACACGATATCACGGCTCTGGCTGTGATGGTCTAGGCGATTTGTATAGGATGCACATTGCCAGATATCGAGAAACGAGACTCTTATGGGAGTCTTGCAGACTGGTTGCCCTGTTCCAGACCTCCGAGGCTATGGTTGCGTCCAGCGGGGGTCACCACGTAGTACGCGCTCTGGTGGAGTTCTTCTAGGACACCACCAACACTTTTCATTTTCCATGGGGACTTATGACTGGGCCAGCTTGGCCTACACTGACTTCGTTCGCGCGCTGAGGGACTCGTGTCGCCACCGGTCCTTTAGGACGAACATTGCTTTGTCTGCTTTCTGGAAAGTCGTAGAGGTAAACATTATTCCCTATAAAGTTTAGCCCTATATTTTAATTAGCATTTACTCACGCGTTAGCTTTTTGTAGATCTGGTTCTATGGGTACTTTCCTTCCTTTGCGCCGGCGAGACCATCGCCGAGGGGGTATCCGGTGAGCTCCTCTTGGGGCGGCCACCATGTGGACCTGTCTACTGCACGCGTCCGGAGTCGGATCATCTCGGTACGACTTTTAGTGTTTATCTTTCTCTCCTGCGACGTTTTGGACATGTTCTTACTCGATTGGTATTTTTTTAGGGACCTGAGGTAGTATACCGACCATGGGGTGGTTGGACAGTCCCTGGATTAGCCGTACAGTACTCTGCTGAACGCCGCTAACTTCTGGGGACCTACGGAGCGGTTGTGTACTTAGGAGAGAGAGTTGCTATCCAGCACTCTTCCGATGTTTTTGTTGTTCCTGCTCTTCTACCACGTCACATGTTCGACGAGAGAGATTTGTTGAGCATGGCTGAGGAGTCTGGTTCCCTC